AATATAACCTCCCGTGCAAACACCCTACGTCACAATAAAACCTCCCGTGCAAACTTCCCACGTCAAAATAAAACCTCCCGTGCAAACAATCTCACGTCACAATATAACCTCCCGTGCAAACACCCCACGTCACAATAAAACCTCCCGTGCAAACAATCCCATGTCACAATATAACCTTCCATGCAAACACCCCACGTCACAATATAACCTCTCGTGCAAACACCCCCACGTCAAAATAAAACCTCCCGTGCAAACAACCCCATGTCACAATATAACCTCCCCTGCACACACCCCACGTCACAATAAAATCTCCCGTGCAAATAAACCCATGTCACAATATAACCTCCCGTGCAAACACCCTACGAAACATTTTATCGGAGCCCTACGACTCGAGCCATCAAAAATTTGCGTGTATACACGTTCGGCTCAAATAAACCTTCGGGGGTTGAGCTGAGATAAAATTGGGCCAGGCCCAATTGCCCCAACCAGGTAAACGCATCGGAGCCGAACAACTAGGCCGAGATACACTAGTGTACTATTTTAGATTATTTTGCCATTTGGGAAAATAGGGTAAACTGGCGTCGAGGATTCTCAGTACCGAAAGTCTTCTGTGAATCATGATTTTCAAGCTATTCATCGACCGGCCACCAACTATTTACGCCTATAACTAAATTTGACACTTATTCATACATGTCAAGCACTGTTCAATTTTGTCATGGCATGTGGCCGTTCTCACTCGAAAATATTCGTTTTTGAGAATAGTTAAACATCACGTATAAATCGAGCCCAGCCACTGATCGTGATCGAGCGGTTGATATTTTCAATAAGCGAGCGAGCAGACAAAATACATATATATATATATATATATATATATATATATATAGAATAGATAGATAGATTGATATCAATCGCTTTAGAACAATTCATATCTTTCATGGTCTGAATCACCATATAGCCATTCATACACACTTATCTTATCTTAAAATTAAACATATAACCATCCTTATAAAATTACTAAATGGCCTTATATATTTCAATATCTGAATCACCACATAACCGTCCAAACAAACATACCTGAATTACCATTTAACGTCGACATCCACGTAGATTGCCATATTACATCATATAAACCGTTCATACAGACTTATCCAAATTACTTCACGACTTTCCAAATCCCCATAAAAAATCGATATAAATCATATCAAATTCACCATGAAACTAACAACATATAATGACCTCATCTTATAGTGCACCTTATATCCTTCCCCATAAACCATACCACATCAATATACAGACTTTCACATAAAGTCTCAACATCATTCACTTTATACTGTATATGGTCCATATATTACACATAACCATATCTTAGTTCTTCTCATCCTCGCTACTACAGTCATTGCATATATTAATGTCTTCATTATAGGTACGGGTTCAACTCATACTGGGCAGTATAATTGTTTTGCTGCGAACAGTGCTATTGATGTCCCAGTGAGCCAACTACCTTCTCGGCTCTGTATAAATAAGTTCGATATGTCTTCTTATAACCTTCGAGACGGAAACGAGTGAGTTATTTTATCATCAATACATTAACACAATCTACCTGTTGAAAGATAGACGGATGAGTGAACATAGTTACTTTAATCAATACATTCTACAGATATTTGGGCTCCAAGGAATGAGTATATAAAACACTGCGATAAAGACTTTCTGTTTTCGAGATTGTAAAATGCAGAAAAATACAGTATTCTCACCAAGTAAAATCATGTTTATTAAACTTATTGTTTATACATGAGTTGTTAAACACACTACAAGGTTTGTAATTCTATCATTTTATATTATTAACACAATTGGAACTATTTCGGGATAATTGGATTCGCTTAAAAAGTGCAACTGTAATGGTTTGTTTTCACAAAAATATTTTATTTGTTCGTTTTAGATTTTTTCTGATAATTTCTTGTATTGATATCAGAAATGAGGAAATTAAGAACAATACTACCCTACAGTAGCACATTTTAAGCGAATCCAATTATCCCAAAATAGTTTCAATTGTGTTTATTGTTGTTTTATTATTGTTATATGACGATGACGATTTCAATCATCTTTATCACAGGTTAACCATTTCACTACGTTCGAAAAATTCAGATATATAAAACTTAATAACTATGATGATGAGAATTCAGTTACCGTTGGACCTCCCATACTTTACTCTTCACATGATACAGTCAATAAAACAAAGATTATATTTGATTTTACCAACCAGTGCATTGTATATCGACTGAAATGCCA